TGATTAGTCGACTATCAAAATAATCGTTTGTGGCAGCCCTAGCTGATACTAATATTTACTGTTGCTTAGTATCTGAGCAGCACATTTGTTGACATTCCTTGTGTAGAGTAGCTAACAATGAATTGCAGTCATTGTAATGTCAAGCCCAACATTAAACCTTTATCATTTTAATGTTGGAGGAGGATTTTCCCTGACAGCAGAAACGTTGCTTTTAATTTGTGGCTTATAACTCATCTATAAAGGCCTAGTTAATTAATAATGTTAAATGTAATTACAGCATATAAACTATTTTTTGATGGAGCCTCATCAGAAAGTGTTATAAATAAAGATTTCCAGTAAGTTGAAAGGGAAATATAAGGATTTGGTTTCCTGACGTGCTTCGCTCTGCTTCTCTCTCGCTGTCTCGCTCCTGCCTCAGTCTTTATAAAAAGCAGCTTTTTGGTATTCGGCAGGTGAATCCTCGCCTGAGGGAACCAGTTTACTGGGTTATGACTACTTGCTCACCCGCTCTGCTTTCTCACTAGACGCTGTACCTGATAGAGCTGTGTAACATAGACATTGCACTGAACAGACATTTTGAAGCTTCTGTCACGGCCTTTGCATCACTTATCTGTGACAGCACATAACCAGCAAATACGCGGAGCGCTACAGTTTGATGCAGGATTTCGTCGGCTGTGTCACGTGTGGTTAATTTAATTTATTTATCAAAAAGAATTCCCTCGCTCAGCGCTCCTGCTGCAGAGATCCACCAAAGGAATGCGCCACAGAATTATGCACTTTCATTTTCACTCGGTTATCATTCAGCTCAGCCGGACGGATGTGCACTAATTAAAGGATCTTGTTGCAAAATGGCATGCACCAACACATGCGCATTAATGCGTCTCTGATACTGTGACCCTTCACCCCTCGTTAGGGCCTTTGTTCTCGTTCCTTTCATCTCTCATTGGTCCTGGAATAATTGTAATTAAAACAAGTCTGCTCCTGCACGGGGAGACAGAAAAGGGGAACAGCTGTCTGGCTCTCTGGTCCTCCCTGTTCCAGCCATCGCAGTGAGTCGTGCCACGATCTAATTCAATTAGGCTGCTGCTTCTTACAGAGACCTGAGAACAATGGGCCCAGACACTAAACACACAGCTTTATTTCTGCATCATCATCATCATCATATTCCTGGCCATGATCACATGCCACGGTTGCCTGTAATTTATAACGAGCTACGTTTTCTG